CATTCATGATAAATAAAAGAGAAACTAAGATTCAAACTACATGTTGAAATCCACCACAATTCTAGAAAGATAATTTATTTCATAATAAAAAATAAAAACAATATCCAAAGAAATTTAGCCAAGAATCCAAGTCAAAGAAAATAAAAAAAAACATAAAAGAAGAGAAAAAAACAAAGTATTGAAGCTTTACGATCTCAATTCTCTCTTAAATTCTCTTGTTTTTTGCTTTATTCTTGGCTTCAAATCTCCAAAATAGTTGGTTGCTACCTCCCCTTTTAAACTTGTGAAAAAGGTCCTTAAATAGGCTCCAAATAACTTAATTTTCAAAATCTTGTCAATTTTTTATTTTTGAAAAATCACCCAGCACTATAGTGCTACTTTTTCAGGACTGCAGTGCTGAGCTTTCCGGAAAATGTGTCGTGTTTCCTTTCGCCAGCGTTGCAGCCTTGTTCTCATAGCACTACAGCTACCTATCAACTTCGAATGTGATTTTTACCTTGATTTATTCTAAACTGGGTAAAATAGTAAACATGAAAGTTTTAACCCTATCTCTTAACTTTTCAATGGATCAAGAATCACATCAATTGAACTTATGTATTGAAAGATATACTCTAAATACCGCATCATATTCAGTTTATGCATATTGCTGCAGTGCTTAAATTTATACAAATATTTTAACCATGATCCAATCAGAGTTGGGAAAAGTGATAAATATAAAAGTTGTAGCCCTTCCTCTTTACATTCTATTGGTCTAAGAATTACTTTATTTTCAGTTCTGTAAAGAGAGATATAATCAAAATACTGCAACATATACAAATGAAACTATCACCATACTTGCACAATTTTTCATCAAATAAGTGATTTTCATCAAATTTCTTACAAAAGTAATAAAAGAAATCAACAATAACTACTCTTAAAGTAATTTAAATTAAAATAACATAAAATTTAACTAACATATTTAAATTAATAATCAAAATTAAACTAGAAAAACACCTAAAATTCTACAATCTGAACCTAAAATGCCTCGAAAACGAGTAAATTTATATGTAATTTATTATGCAAACATTATTGATGGGTTAAATGTCATTGAATAAGGAATTAAATTCAACATTTCGCATTAAGAGTGATTAAAAAATAATTATATTATATATAAAATTTTATATAAAAATTAAAAAGTGACAGACCTACTTATATCATTGATCACTTTTAACTTTTGTAATCTACTATTGCAATTTTAGTTAACATTGTTCAAAATTTGAAGACTATAAGATAAAAAGTGGTCCCCGACTTGAATTATGCCGACCTTAAAATTTGGAACATTTGAGCCCGTGACTCACCAAATAATAATTCATTTTGTGGAAGCCATCCAAGCCATGTTGTCTATATCACATGCCAAACAAATAATCAAGTCTGCTCACTGCATTTTAAATCAAAACTATATTCTGTGCTAAATATGAGAAGCATTGACCCCAACATTGATCAGAGTTTATTCATTCAAATTTAACATTTGGGTAATTAACAATATAGTAAATTGAGCACTATCTCCGAGTATGTGGTAGCTAATTACTTCTTCATGGCGCATGTCTCAGAGCAAGAATCCACACAGCTTCCAACCTTTTCTTCACCTAGTAATGCATTAAAACAAACAAAACAAAACGAAAACTTGAGTTTATGCTTGAGTCTATTTACACGAGAGAGAGAGAATATACCTGGATTTTCTTTGGAGCTGAGATCGGTGCACAAGGAGGTAGCACAACCAAGCTTGCAGAAGTATTGAGTATCTTTGCCACTTGGAAAAGAAGAGCTTGGAATAATACAGTCCTTAAGGCACTTGACAGAGCAAGAGAAAACCGTATTATTCGGTGTAATAACACACAAAATGAAGCAACCCATATAGCAGGTTTGGAAAGAAGCGGTGGACTGCCCTACCAGGAGCCCCAACACCAAGTAAACCATCAAGACAGACCCCACCCCCCTTCCCTCCATTTTTATTCCCTTTCCTTTTGTTTGCAAGGGGAAGAAAGGTAAGGCTGAAACTTAAGTAGATTGCTCTTTCTGTTTTCCAAGAGAGGTTTTTATATATAGACCCTCAATTGTAGGTTTATGTGGTAGGAAGTTCTTCTCCACTTACGCTCATATCTGGAAATTGCATTGATGGGTCTAATTTAACCTCTCTGGATAAATTATTAATAGGAAAATGGGAAAATATCGAAGGTTAAATGCCATAAAAGAATGTTAAAAGTTGAGTAGTATAAAATCTTTCTATCTAGGATAAGACAAATTAATTAAAATTTCACTAAAATGTAAATGTTAAAAGAAAGATGAGTTTCAATAGTTGTCAAAATAGTGACTTTTACCACGCTAGCACACTTGGCTTGTTATCACTGCTGAAACTTACAAAATGGACCATCTAGCGTGGCATTCTTAGTAAGCCTTATTGATATGCCAGTGGGAGTACTACATATGAGGCTGTGAATTAATCTGGTCTTAAAATAAATTTCTTTAAGAGCTGTCTTTATGGACTTGGTGTCAGCCGTGATGTCCATATTAATGATTGGGCGAGAGTTATAAGATGCAAAGTTGTAGAATTTCCCACAACATATTTAGGTTTTGCTTTTGGAGCTAACCCTAGATGTATCAAGACTAGGTAACTGATTTTAGACAAAGTGGAGGGTAGACTTGTGGTGTAGAAGTCTAAATAATCTATGGAAGAGGGTTACAATTTTGAGATCCGCTTTTCATAGTTTCCATTGTTCTATATGTCATTGTTTCGAATTCCAAAGGGGTGGTTAAGGAAATTGAGAAGATTGAGTGGAGATTCCTATGGAGTGGAGGAGGCTCGAAAACTAAGATGCATTTGGTGGATTGGGGCATTGTATGTAATTATTGTGAGAATTGTGGGCTTAAATTACTTAGTTGTGAGCTTAAAAATAGAGCTCTATTAAATAAGTGGTTGTGGACATATGAGAATGATAAAGGATGCTTGTGGAAGGAGATTATAGATGGGAAAATGGAAGGTAACCCCTCCACATTGCTTTTGAATCTTACATTTAATAGAAATTGCTTTACATTATGGAGTGACATCATTAATCCCTTATCACATAGTAACAAATTTTTTTGTGGATTTCATCAGCTTTAGAGTTTTATTGGTAATGGGAAAAGGGTTTTTTTTTTTTTTTGTGGATGTTGAGTCACTTGAGGGGTTCATATTGAGTGAGAGTTTCCCTCATATAGATGCTCTAGCAGTCAATAAAAAAGGGAAGATGTGTGAGTATGGGGAATGGGTTGGAATGAGAGGTATGGAATATTGAATTACGTAGAAGAGTTTTTTGCTGGGAAATAAGTCAAAGGGATCATTTTTATAGTTTACTCAGTGAGTGTCCCATGGATATGAGTCTGAGAGATAAATTGGTATGGAAATATGAAATTAGTGGAAAGTTTTCTACAAGGTCCTTTTGTATAGTGACAAATGAAAGTAATAAGAGTGATCAAGTATGGAAGTTGGTTTGGCGAGGCTTGGTTCCACATAAAGTAGAGCTACTTACATGGCAAGTTATGTATGGTAGGGTGGCAGTTAAGAGTGAACTACTTAAAAGGGCTTGTTAAGTAGAAGTATAGGTATGTTGTCATATCCTGATTCCAAAGATATGACCTACATACAAACCCACATGAGTATAGCCCATTAGGCATAAGCAAGCTTTTATTCATCATTCATATATTCATTCATCACCATTTCTAAGCACATATCATTTAGTGCTTCATCATATGTTGATAACTCTATTATATAGAGTTATTTTGACTCATTTTGGGAGCTTAAGTAGCTAGATCTTTGAGATTTTATGTTCGAATTTTAGAATTATAGGTGTTTTTTTTAGTTTAAGTTTGATTATTTGTTAAGTGATTAATTTAAGTTATTTTAGTTAAAATTTAGGTTATTTTATTTTAAATTACTTTAAGAGTAGTTTTTGCTAATTTCTCCTATGGCTTTTGTAGGAAATTGATGAAAAAGACTCATTTGATGAAAATCAGTGCAAGTATGGTGATAGCTTCATTGTATATGTTTCAATATTTTGACCATATCTCTTTCTAAAAAACTCCAAATGAGGTGATTCTTTGACCAATCAAATTATAAGAAGAAGGGAAACAATTTTTATGTTCACCAATTGGCCCAGTTATGATTGGATCATGGTCAAAACATTTGTCAATTCGGACCACTGCAGCAGGATGTAAAGACTGAACATGAGCAGTATTTGGAGCAAATCTTTCAATCCAGAAGTCCAATTGATGTGATTTTTAATCCATTAGAAAGTTAAGAAGAGGGATAAAACTTTTATGTTTACTACTTTGCCCAGTTCTTAACATATCAGGGTGAAACTCATGTTTGAAGTTGATAGACTGCCACAGTGCTGGGAGAACAAGGCTGCAGCGTTGATGAAAAGAAGCACCATACAAAATTCCAGAGAGCTCAACGCTGCAGCGCTGGAGAAGTGCGCCGCGCGCTACGCGACTTCCCTAAAAAAATAAGGACATTAACGGAATTTCGTAAAATTAGGTTATTTGGAGCCTATTTAAGGAGACTTTTTCAGAGATTTTGGAGGCAGCAAGAGAGGCAGCAAAGGAGGCAGCAAGAAACTATTCTGGAGATTTGGAGCCAAGAACAAAGCAAGGAACAAGAGAATTGGAGAGAGAATCAAGATCATACATCTCTAACTATTAGTTTTCTCTCTTACCTTTGTGTTTTTTTCTTATTTTCTTTGACTTGGATTCATGGCTAATTTCTTTGGATATTGTCTTTATTAGATATATGAACTAATTATTTTTCTAGGATTGCAATTGAACTCACATGTAATCTAGATTTTTAATCACTTTCTTGCTTATTTTCAATGGGATTTGAATTGTTTATTCCAATTTGTTCTTAATGCTTTTAATTGCATGGCCACAATTAAATTGATCTAGAAACTAAACAAAATTGGGAAAGGGAGTTTAGTGTAGACTAAAATTGGGATAGCATATGATCATATTAATTGATTTGCGTATAGGATAGGGATATACCTATAGGCCATATGTAGCCAAATTAGAGCCTGAACTTAATGAGTTTATTTTAATTTCAATTCACATAGGGATATAGTGTTTTGGTTAAAATAGATATTTTTATAAGATGAGTTGGGAGACCCTTATAAATAATTTAGGACTCTAGGTTAGCAATTCAAACCATTGAGATAAGTTAAGGAAGAGAGGTAAGATTTAGATGAAGTGTGAGGGATATTGTAATCCTAGGCTTGTTTGATTTGATATTTATTTGAGTATTTATTATTTTGATTTTTCTTAATTTAATTCTGCTATAACTTAGTTTGATTTGATATTATTTTGATATGTTTGGATAAGATTAATTTGCAATAATTTTAGTACTTAGTAAACTTTTAGATCAATTCCTGCGGGATCGATACTCTTACTAGTAATATACTATCTATTCGATACGTATACTTGCGTGGTAGAATTTTAACTGACATATGTCACGGAAAGTCTACCTCTCGAGGTATGGCTAAAACATGTCACTTATCCTTAGAAATTTATATCATTATATAAAGTCATGCAACATATCACAAAAATATCTTAAGCACATCTTGTGTTCATTGTACGCACACCTTGGTGCTTTTTCCATTTATGGCCTCATCACCATAGGTTAAACATCTATCATACACCCATCTTGGAACAACCCTATCATGAGTATCATAATAAAGTATTATCAATTATTTACATAGATATGTTATCATCACACATGTAATAAAACCAAGACTTTACTTGACACATGATGGAGTGTACGACACATAGTAGGATTTGACGGAAGGCATTATCACACCTACCAAGTGCAAGTTGAGTTACTCCTCCTCAAGCGATGACCCAAGCAAGCTATTATCTAAAAACAAAAATAAGGGAACTAATGGGTGAGTCACAAAGATTTCATGAGTAAGCGCGGGAAGGGGACAAGTTATAAGAAGAGAATGTTTGCAATAAACCATAATTTGCAACACACATGAATTTCATAATCAGTCATCACATTTCCTTACAAATGCTTAAAATGATGTTGTTTAATGTCATTCCTCATGAATCAAGTTGTAATCCAAGTCACATAATCATTTAGATTGAAAAAGAGGCTTGAAATCGAGTGAAAAGCCATTTGAATGCTTTCGAGGCTAAATATATCGATACTTTTTACATAAAATGCTTCTTGAGAGTATCGATACTTTATTCTTAAAAATGTGAAATTTAGGCATTTTTTAACACATTTAAGTCACTAACTTCTACCTATCACTCATTAGGTAATTCTTTTGCTAAATCATTCAAGGTATGCATAAACATACATAAACACACATTCAACAATCCATTTCGTCAAATTTGTAGTGTCACCAACATCACATGCAATCTTTAGCATCAGAATTTATCTTGCATCCATGAAATAAATCATATCAATGAATGCAACATATATTGGCCAACTTAAGGCTATATATAGGAGTGTGGTACATGCCCCATATAGTGGCCCTTATGTACGTGTGGAACACGCCTCACATCATGGCCCTTCTGTACATATGGTACACGCCCCGCATTAGGCTGTCATGCTTTTATGCAACATAAACATCATAATACATATCATCATACTCATTCATTTAATAACTATCACTAGCATAGGCATGTAATTATACAAAAACATATCATAATCTCATTGGTGGGCATTAAACCATTCATTCTCACATTCGTTAGTAGTGGGTATTTATTCATCCATTTTTACACATTTTAAGAGGTGGGCCATCATTCATCCATACTCACATTAAAATAGGTGGGCTATTAACCATCCACATTGATATCAGAATAAGTGGGCTACTAACCATCCACATTCACTTCATGGTAAGTGGGCATACATCCATCCATATGGGTAGTGGCCTAGTCATGCATTAGCTTTACTCATTCATCTTACCTAGGATTTCTTTTTAGTTAAAACATTTGAAAGGACTTGGCCATCCTTATTCAAAACTACCACATAGTATTCATATTTACATATCATATATATACTTTTGAAA